CACTGTTATTCAGTCAGGTGGGTCAGGTGTGCTGACTGATCTCGTAGTGTGCTCCTGGTGAGTCAGTGTGCTGGTGTCCTGGAGTTAGAAAGGGGTGAGCAGGGTCATTCGATCAGTGCAGGTGTCTCAGGTGTGGTGAGGAGGGTATGTCTTTTCCACAGAGACTGCAGAGGTGAGTCAGTGTGCAGACTCGGGACAGTCAGTTCATGGTTTCTCTCGAGAGCTCCTGTGTGTTACAGCGCTCCTGCAGCTCAGTTGCGTGTGAAGCCATGCTGTCCATATAGCTGAGTGTGCTCCTTGTGGTGGGACTGTGGAGAACATGTGGTCAGGAACTTTTACAGCAGAAAGGGATTTCTATAAGCACAGATCAAAGCTGTGTGAGTGCTGGCCATGTTTTAGAAGAGAGCTGTCTCACTTGTTGCTGATGTCTTGTTTTGTTTTATCTAAAGGCGAGACGGAGCGTTACTGGACTGCATCTACACCATCCTTACAATCTAACACAGGTTCTGAAGGTTCTGATGGCTCCCAGTAAGTATTGCCCGACTTTTTTTCTGCATTGTTGGAGGTTTAGTCACATTGCTCAAGTAACCCCACCCTGCCCTCACACAGGACAGTAGGGAGAGGAACAGGATTGTAATAATAACCAGAGCCAGAGCACAGACGCCCACTCTCACAGAAATTCGAGCCTGGAGTGTTTGTTCGTCCAGCCAAGCTTTATTGTATGCATACAAGGAGCCACAATAAGGACCATAGTAGTTATAGTACCGATCGTAGCTCCAAGGGGATGTGGCCCTACACAGCTTATATCTACCTTTCTCTACACCCTGCCCCTCCTGTCTGTGAGGTAGCTTTCACAAGAATCTCCTGGACTCAGGAAGCACTTAAACCTTCCGTTCTCATCAGGAGTTTAGTGTAAACGTTCCCCATTTGGGGGTAAGTACAGGGGGGAAGAATCTGTGCTCCAGCAAGCGTGACGGTCACAGTTCAGCATGTGAAAGCTGTTAGCAGGCTCCCTCACACACTCCCATCCACACTCTCTCCTGCACTCTCACACTGATACTCACTCTCTCACTCTCTCACTCGCGAACTCTGTGAAAGTACTGGATAGTCACCATGTTGTCGCAGACCCCTGGTCTCGACCTGGGCAAGAGCAATTGGCGAGAATCATAGTGTGAAGTAGCCCTTCCTGCTCACTGTAATGACTAAGGTACATGTGATGCACGAGGGAATTCTTACAGCAGAAATGTTCCAGCCAGCCACTTTCACACACACACAGTATTTCTTAACGAAATGCACTCTCTAACTGTCCAATCTGGAGACATTATAAAAGCAAAGACGCAATCTGAAAATGTTTTAGTGTCTTTAATATTCCAGACTTAAATTACCTGAAACGTAAAAGACAGACGCCTTTTTTCAGTGTAGGCAGAGTGTAGTGTAAGTGTAGTTTCAGCAATCATCTTATTCTTGTATTTTAATAGCGGCTCGGTCTTATACGCCAAGTAATGTACTGTACAATACCCAGCAGTAGAGTACAGTACGTTACTCTACAGAGCTAAACAGCTGCTCCGTTCCGTATTGACACCAAAGCAGGAGAGCAGGATTGGCCACACCTAGCTGGACTTCTGCGTCGGTCCGTTATAAGGAGGGTTTACTGTCCTGTCTTCCCGTCTTTCTGTGAGGGCAGCAGCTGAACGTGTGTTTAGAGGCTGAGTCTGCGCAGGTGGTGATTGAGGTGGCTGTCACAGCTCCTGCTACAGATACTGTATCCTGATTATATTCATATGAATATGAATATTAATTACTTTGCTTTCTTTGCAGAACCCTGCTCCTGAAACGAAACGGATAGTCATAATGCCGTCAGAGTCTTGTCAACATATTCAGTGTTGGACCCTGCTGTCGGCCTGCGGTTTTCTCCTGTATTCTTTCTCCCATCCCCTAAACACACTGAAACAGTGTGTGTTTCACCAGTCCCCTGGAACACAGCTGCAGCCTACTGATTGGCTGTAGCACTCACCAGACTGCTCCAGTGACCCTGTCAAAGCCCACTACTACAGTCCAGGAGCCCACAACCCTCCCTGAGCCGTCATGAGCAGCCCTAGCACGCAGTGAGTAGCAGTCGATGTGATCGACGGGCCAGGGGCTTGTGCGTCTCGCAGGCCCTGATCCAGATGCCTCTTCTCAAAAAGCCACCTTACTTGCGGAGCACTTCATGCACTGGTTTCACAGTATACTGTACAGTATACTGTCCAAAGCCAATGCTGTAACCCTGTCTGTGGAGGGTACTGGACTTGAGTCTAAATTGAAAGACGCTGGGGGAACTAACGAATATTTGTTTGGAATCCTTATATCAGCAGGGAAGAAAGCTGTAACAAGAAAGTGGCTTCTCCTAGATCTACCAACAATGACTGATTGGATTGAACTAATAAAGGAAATATATATAATGGAAAAAATAACATTTTCACTAAAAGTACAAATTAAAAAAATTGTCAAATATTGGTCTAGATGGGTTCAGTACATTAAACCTTTAAGGTCGGATTTTGTTGAGATACAAAATAATTGGTCTCCCTTTTCATACTCATAAATGTGTACATCTTCTTTTGAATGTATATAGTTTTGTAAAAAAGTTATATAATTGTAAAATACTAGGGGGAAAAAAGGTTTGCCCTTTTTTTGAATTTTTGATGTAATAATGGTGGTTTAGATGTAAAATGGTTTTGTTTTGTTTTCTGAAAAAAAAATATTTTTAAGAAAAGTGTGGGGGTGATATTTGATTCAGGCTTGACATTCGAGCATATTGTCAAAACATCTTTCTTTCACCTCAGAAATATCACTAGACTGCGCCCTATTTTATCACTTACTGTGGCTGAAAACCTGATCAACACATTTGTCTTCTCCTGTATTGACTACTGTAATACTCTACTCACTGGGGAGTGAGTAAACTCCCTCACTCCTGTCCTGGAGTCCCTGCACTGGCTTCCAGTTGACTCCAGAGTCCTCCTGCTCACCTGTAGGGCTCTGCTGGGCTCTGCCCCTCTGTACCTGTCTGAGCTCCCATCATCCTCCTCCCCCTCCGCTGGTCTGACTCTGCTCTCCTGTCTGTCCCCCCCAGCCCCTCTACACTCTGGGGGGTGAAGGGGCTTCTCCTGCTGCGCCCCAGAGCTCTGGAGCTGCAGCCCCCAGGATCTCAGAGTCTCCCCCCCTGAGCTCTTTCAGATCCAGACTCCACACCTTCTTCTCCAGAACATTCTGTATTTAACTGGTTCTGTTCTTTACCCCTCTGCTCCTGCTGTATCCAGTACAGACGACTGTCTCCTCTACCTGTGTTCTCATCCTGCATATCTGTATTTTTATATTGTTGTCATTCTGTAAAACTAAGAAGCCACCTGTAAAGTGCTACATAAAATAAAGGTTTTTATTCTTCTTCTTATTATTATTATTGTTGTTATTTCTGTACACAGAGGGGGGTGGGGGTGGGGAACAAGCTGCCCAGCCCTGTGGTTGAAGCCGATACCCTGGCTTCTCTCCAGACACAGCTGGGTGAGCTCCTCCAGTCAGGACAGGAGGCTCTACTGTACACAGAGGGGGGCGGGGGTGGGGAACAAGCTGCCCAGCCCTGTGGTTGAAGCCGATACCCTGGCTTCTCTCCAGACACAGCTGGGTGAGCTCCTCCAGTCAGGACAGGAGGCTCTTCTGTACACAGAGCGCAGCACAGCTCTCCTCTTTCAGCAGGGGCAGGGCTGTGTGCACAAACACCCAGCTGACGTGTCTCGCACCCCCACCTGGGCCCCGGGCACGAGGCTGGCCTGGGGCACCTCCCGTGTGGAGCCCGCTGTGGGGGAGATCAGCCTCTGCACGAACAGAGGACGTCCGGTACTTCGTTGTTTTCCACATCGGAAGCGCACACTGATAAAACCAGCTCTGCTCTGTGCTGTGATGATTCGAGGTTTGTGGACGCGGTCTGAAAAGAGTCCAGTGTATGTGTCATACGCGCCAGTGCAATGACCCGGCATCTCCGCGCCCGCAGCGCCACCTTCTGCGTGGAGTCTGCATGTCCCGCCGAGCACCGGTGCACCAGGGACGGGTAAACTCGAGAGCCCCGGTGTGGAGCGACCCTCACAAAAACAAAATACACGTCCGGGGTACGTTTCCTCGTGACATTTTTAATTTTACGTTTTATGTACAGTGACTGGTCCTGTCTGCCAGGCACAGCTCGGCGGCCTCCCCAGTATAACCAGTCTCTCTGGTGAGAAACAGCCCAGGGGGGGATGTTTCCCTGCACAGCGACCCCGAAACCCGCCTGCAGTGTCCCGATCGATCAGCACTGAGGCACAGATCCTCCCCTGGGGACCGGAGTCTGTCCCCTCCCGAAGGACTTTTCCGTTTCTCTCCGGGTCTCGCCCGCTACACCGGAGTCGGGATACGAGATAAGCCTCTTCCGAGGCTGGCTCCTCTCCTGCCACCCAGCCTGGACCTCCATCACAGAATTCCTGCTGTTCTGCAGGGGTTCTAGTCCTGCAACACGGGGAGAGAGAGACCAGACATTACAGATCACAGAGGGTGTGGGCTAGGCACAGGACACAGGCACAGGCTGACCTCTCCCCCTCGAGCTCAGAGAGAGTGGACTGGGCAGTCTCTCAGGCTGACCTGTGGGCAGGGGGCTCTGTCTGCTGGCTACACTGGGTGCACTTGATAAAGTGCCCACTCAGGATCCAACCACTCTATTTCCATGAGAAAAGGAAAGAGTTACCCCGGTGTGTCCTTCCCGCTGGGCTGCTGAAGGCTGGTGCCTGGTGCTCTTCTTGAAGAACCCGGATTCTGTCATGAAGAGGAGAAAGGAAAGCAGTCAGGAGCTCCAGCCACATCCCAGTCACTTCCAGCCACTGCAGCTGCTTGTCGTGACCAGACACAGACCCAGGCTCTGTCAGACTGTGTGCTGGGGATCTACTGGATCCCCACTGGAGTGGAGGAATCCAGTGTCTCTCACCTGGACCGTACCCAGATCACTACCGCAGCTGACACAGCAGGAGCTGGGAATCTACCGGATTCCCACTGGAGTGGAGGAATCCAGTGTCTCTTTCTCTAAGCTCACTCAGTACTCACCACATGTCACACAGCAGATTACAAGGGCTGCTATCAGAACGTAGAAGGCCGTCGTGCATATCACGAAAATCGTATTCTTATCCGCCATCCAAACGTTTTGCGAGGAGGGCTCTGTAATGAATCACAAACAGCTGTCAGGGATCTAGAGCATGAAGTGTTAGAGCATTGGGTGTGCAGTGTGTTGTTACAGTGACACAGTACAGAGTGTCGGACCATTCATCATGAGAAACTTTTATTTGAACACAGTGCTGTTCTCGAAGCACTTTACAGTGAGGAAACCAGCTCTCACTGAGAGCAGGCTGCGGCTTTCTCATTTTTACAGTAAGAAAGCCAGGGAGCACAAAGAGCCAGTCAGATAAAAGCAACCCCCCAAAGAAGGTGTGGAGTCTGGATCTGAAAGAGCTCAGGGGGGGAGACTCTGAGATCCTGGGGGCTGCAGCTCCAGAGCTCTGGGGCGCAGCATGAGAGGCCCCGTCACCCCCAGAGTGTAGAGGGGCTGGGGGGGACAGACAGGAGAGCAGAGTCAGACCAGCGGAGGGAGAGGAGGATGATGGGAGCTCAGACAGGTACAGAGGGGCGGAGCCCAGCAGAGCCCAACAGGAGAGCAGGAGGACTCTGGAGTCAACTGGAAGCCAGTGCAGGGACTCCAGGACAGGAGTGAGGGAGCAGAGTCGGACCAGTGGAGGGGGAGGGGAGGATGATGGGAGCTCAGACAGGTACAGAGCGGCGGAGCCCAGCAGAGCCCTACAGCCGACATCACCTATAGAATGAAGTGGCTGTCCTGTGTTAAGCCCGGGTCCTGACTCCTTCTCTCTCTTACTCCAGGGGATGACGAGCTCCTCTCCCAGGCTGGTGCCATTCACAAAGCAGGTGAAGCTGTGTCTCTCCAGCTCCTCCTCGCTCACTCTCAGACTCCTCCTGACCTGGAAGCTCCCGTCTCCGTTGGGCAGCACCACCGCAGGGTCCACCCCCTCGGTCAGCTCCTGTCCGTCCCTCTGCCAGGACACAGCCACGTCCCCGGGGAAGAGGCTGACCACGCTGCAGGTCACGGGAGAGTTCGGCTCCCGGCCCCTCTGGAGCCCCGGGGCCTCGGGGGCCGGGGCTGGACAGGAGAGAGGGGGGGACAGTCTCAGAGCCCAGGCTGCTCTCTGGCACGAAGGAGCCGCCGGCCTCGGGTCTGGACTCACCTCTGCACAGAGTCTTCCTCGTGTGTTTGATGAAGATCTTGAGCCACTGGGAGCAGTACTGCTCCAGGAAGGTCAGCACGGTCCGATTGAAGGAGCGATCAGGCTCCCAGCCCTGCTCAGCGCCAGGGGCGCGGCTGACCTGGGTCCAGGTCCTGGTTCGGGTGTCCAGTCGGAGATACACCTTCCCCTCGTGGCCCAAAGCACAGCGCCCTCTACTGGTGCCCCCACCATCCTCCTCCAGCTCACAGCCGCAGAGCAGCAGCACAGTGTGAGAGCCTGGAGCTCAGAGACACAGAGGAGCACAGAGCTCAGAGACACAGCAGCACAGTGTCAGAGCACAGAGCTCAGAGA